AATCAACCTTGACTCCTGTTTGATCAAATCATGTCATAGTCCCCAGAACAAGTAACATGTTATTACAGCAACATATTATTGCATCATTCAGAGTTGGGAAGTATACAGAAACTGTAATGCAAGCTCAGCTAGTTTAGCATTTTTAAAAAACAATAAGGGGGGAAAAACGTGATTGCCTCAAAAACGGAAGAAAAGGAATATTACAGCCCTAGGTACTGAGTCCTTCAATCAGTAGAGTGCTGTTCACCTCTGACTTATGAAAAGCCTAACCAACAATCGATTATATTTCCACACAAAGCTTGCACCTTTCCTGCACGCTCAAAATATTTCCATAGCTCTCCCATCTTTTAGGATGGAACAACAGAACAGTATAACAGAATTGGAACAACCTGCCTCCAAAAGTGGTGAATGCTCCAACACTGGAAGTCTTTAAGAAGAGACTGGACAGCCATTTGTCTGAAATGGTATAGGGTTTCCTGCCTGAGCAGGGGGTTGGACCAGATGACCTCCAAGGTCCCTTCCAACTTTATTATTATTATATTATTATAATTGGAAGGGACCTTAAGAGATCTTCAAAGTCCAACCTTCTGCTCAAGCAGGAGACCCCATACCATTTCAGAGAAGTGGTTGTCCACTCTCTTATTAAAAACCTCCAGTGTTGGAACACCCACAATTGGATTCTCCATAATTTCTCCTAAAGTTTCAACCTCAGTAGAAGACATGGAGTGGCCATAGCTACCTGGTGAAATCCATGAAGCTACCAGGAGTCACACTTACTTCAGAGACTTTCCTCCTATGAAGATATTAAATATATATATACTGCTGCTGTTGACTTTCCATTCCAGTACCAAGTACTGTACTTGCTTCCTCAATGTACACTCAGTTTTATCAACCTGGTATGCCTTTGGCCACAGTGGTTATAGATTATAGTTGAATATCAATAAAAATAGACCTGGAAGCAACCTTGGAGGTCTTCTAGTGACAGTCCAACCCTCTGCTCAAGCAGGAGACCCTATACCAGGGGTAGGCAACCTTGGCTCTTTTATGACT